GGCTGGGCCCAGGACTTGCTGCCCTGCATCCAAGCTATGTCTAAAGGGGCCACGGTACAGCTGAGACCATTGCCTCAGAGGGTGCAAGCCCCAAGCCTTGGTGGCTTACACATGACGTTAGGCCTGTGCATACACAGAAGTCAAGAATTGAGGTTTGGGAACCTCTGCCTGGATTTCAAAGGATATATGGAAATGCCTGGATGTCCAGGCAGAGGTATGTTACAGGGAAGGGCCTATATGGAGAACCTCTGCTAGGGCGTTGTGGAAGGGAAATGTGGCGTGGGAACCCCCACACAGAATCCACACTGGGGTGCTGCATAGTGGACCTGTGAGAAGAAGGCCACTATCCTCCAGATTCCAGAATGGCAGATCTGCCAACAGTTTGCACCATGTGCCTGGAAACGCTGCAGACACTCAACGCCAGCCAAAGAAAGCAGCCAGGAGCGGGGCTGTACCCTGCAAAGCCACGGGGCCGGGGGAGGGAGCTGCCCAAGGTTGTGGGAGCCCACTTCCTACATCAGCATGAACTGGATGTAAGACATGGAGTCAAATAAGGTCATTTTGGGGCTTTAAGATTATACTGCCCTGCTGGATTTCAGACTTGCGTGGGGCCTGTAGCACCTTTGTTTCAGCCAGATTCTCTCATTTGGAATGGGTATGCTTACCCAATGCCTGTAGCCCCATTGTGTCTAGGAATTAACCAACTTGCTTTTGATTTTACAGGCTTATAGGCAGAAGGGACTTGCTTATCTTAGATGAGACATTGGACTGTGGACTTTTGAGTTAATGCTAAAATGAGTTAAGACTTTGGCGGGCTGTTGGGAAGTTATAATTCATTTTGAAATATGAGAACCTGAGATTTGGGAGGGGCTAGGGGCAGAATAATATGGTTTAGCTATGTCCCCACCCTAATCTCATCTTGAATTGTAGCTCCCATAATACCCACATGTCATGGGAGGCAACTGGAGAACTGAGTCAAGGGGGTAGGCTTTTCCCATGCTGTTCTCGTGATAGTGGGTGAGCCTTGTGAGATCTGATGGTTTTATGACGGGCAGTTCCCCTGCTCATGCTCTTTTGCAGCTGTCACGTAAGAGGTGCTTTTGCTCCTCCTTCATCTTCCACCATGATTGTGAGGCCTCCCCAACCATGTGGAACTATGAGTACATTAAACCTCTTTTTCTTTATAAATTACCCAGTTTTGGTTATGTCTTCATTAGGCATGTGAGAATAAACTAACACAGATATGTTGGTCATAAAAGACCTCCACATATATTTTAACCAAAGAATTTGTTGACAAATTATGTGTTACACTTTTTCAACACTTTTTCATTCATAGATAAGCTTTTAAGAGGTTCGTATTTAAAAATGAGATTGACGTTTTTGGATTTGGACAATGCCTAGACAGCCTTCCTGAACATGACTGCACACTGGAATGACCTAGAGGATTCTCTTCGGCTTAAGACAGATGCCTGAGCAAGTCTTAAACAGAGAGACTAATGCCTTAGGACTAAGCTAGGTCAGGGTATCACAGGGTGCACCTCAAAACTGGGTGGGAAGCCACATGGGTTCTTAGCTTCATGCAGGAAGGAATTCAAGAGCAAGCTGATAAAGTGGAAGAAGTTTATTTAGGTAAAGGAATAAAAGGTTGGCAAATCCATAGGCAGAGCAGCTCCAAAAGCTGCTAGCTAGCTACTTTTATGGTTATTTCTTGATCACATGCTAAGCACAGAGTGGATTATTCATTATTTTCTGGGAAAGGAATGGGGAATTCCCAGAACTGAGGGTTAGACCATATAGGGTAGCTTCCAGACATTGCCAAGGCATTTGTAAACTGTCATGGTGCTGGTGGGAGTGTCTTTTAGCATGCTAATGTCTTATAATTAGTGTATAATGAGCAGTGAGGATGACCAGAGATCACCTTTGTCACCATCTTGGTTTTGGCCAGCTTCTTTACTACATCTTATTCTATCAGCGGGGTCTTTGTGACCTGTACCTTGCAAAACCACTCCTACTGATTCCTAAATTCCTATCTCACCCATCCAAGATGAAGTAACTCTGGTTTAAATGCCCCTGACAAAAGAATTCACACTGTTCAAATCTCCCCAGGTGACTTTGAAGCATATCCATATTTATTAGCCACTAAGTTAAAATATATTATAGGCTGCTTTCAATGAAAAAAAACATTTTGTGAGTCACTTCATACTTACTTTTACTTGAGAAGACTGAAAAGGTAAAGAAGTGGTGCTAAAATTTAAAATTAAAAAATCTCAACTTGCTCTAGTAGGAATTTTAATAGTGCACCCTAGGTTTCATTTTCTCTCTCCTGGTATGTGAATAAACAACCTTACATACTGCAATTCACTCTGTAATGAATTAGATATGACCCTTTTATATGTTGGAGAAAATGTATAGTTAGAACCTAAGATTAGGTAACTTATTTTTATGTTTACAAATTCACTCACACATTTTTCTTAAATTTTTCTCATGTTCTTTCTCTGAATATGTGGTAAAAGTACTCCTTTCCCATTCTGTGTCATGGCATTTTACAAGGCTTTCTCATCCTCTCCATCCCTGAGGGAACTCTGTCTCATTTATCTTTATGTTTTCCATATCTTACTCCAGCGGCCTACCAAAGTAAGTAAATATCTGATGAATAAATGAACATAAGATTTAAGTAAGAATTATCATGTTAAACAAATTGTTCCCTCTCTGATCTCTGTATTATTACATTTCAAAGGAGTTTCTGGGAAAAGTAGTGAACACAATGATGTATAGATTCAATAAACAAGAAAAATGGTACTCAGGGATTTAAAAGAAAGCTAATAAAACGTCAAATCCACAGCAATTAATTTCTCCCAGTAAGTCCTCATAAATTCAGGCCAAGAAATTTTACACTGGTCTTGCCTCATTCAACTCTCATCCATCCTGGGTAGGGCTTCTCTGGGCCTGTTTCTCACCTGGCAAACAGTACTTGATGCTCATTGGATGCAGATCTGAAAGAGGTAGAAAGAGCCCAGTACCTGGTTTATCTCTAGCTTTATGCTGCAGAGAGTATTTGATGGTGTGCCACAGTGCTCTGTATATACTGTTGGGATCAGCCTTCTTAAGTGCACTGGAATTTCTCTGGGTATCATTAAATTCTTCATTTACTGACCATCAGGCACTGGGATAGAATATGATATTAATCAAGAAACCATCCCTGGACATCAAGGAGCTCATGATCCACTTGGAAAACTTGCAGATTACAAAAATTTTTTGTGTCGGGATTTTGCTACGTTGCCTAGCCTGGAGTGCAGTGGCTATTCAGAGACACGATCATAGTGCAGTGCAGCCTCAAACTCCGGGGCTCAGGTGATCCTCCCTCCTCTACCTCCTGAGTGGCTGGGACTACAGGTGCACACCGCTGTGCATGGCCAGGATTTTTTTTTTTTTTTAGGATGTTATAAGACCTATAGTTATTTAATTATTATCGTTCTTAGGATAGTTAGTGAAAAGATTTGGACTAGTCTTCCACACACTGATGTACAGCAAGACAACTACAGTTAGTAACATTGTACTATATACTAGAAATTTGTTAAGAGTAGATTTAAGGTGTTTTTACCACAAAGGAAAGAAAAACGTAACTATGTGAGTAGATGGATTATTAATTCGCTCGACAGTAGTACTCATTTCACTGTGTGTATGTGTATCAAAGTATCATGTTGGCCACTTTAAATTCACACATTTTTTATTTTAAAATAACTGAAAAAAATAAAATAGTAAAGTAAAAATAATGCATAGGCAAGCATAAAACCCACCTTCTTCCAATGAAGGGAGTAGTTTGACAGTTAATACTTGGAGGATAAAATGATAGAGTTTTCAAAGCCTTTGGTAAGGAGTACTCCTAAATGAAGGAATCTCATTTTGGTTTATAACAGCCCTCACTTTTCCACTCTCAGATTTTTACTGCCTTTCCCTGATGTACCATTAAAGCCCTTCAGCCTAAATTCATAGAATCCATTAAGGAAGAAATTCTGAAGCAGGTTTGGGGAACACATTTTCAGCCTAGAAGAAAGGTACCTTACTCTTTGACAGACCAAGACTGCCAGCTTACTCTTTATTTTAAAATGCTAATGAGTAACAAGCCCTGTATCAATAAACAGAGCCAAGTGTGTGATAAATGTTAAGGCGGAAGAAGAACAGGTTTTGGGAACACATTTTTATCCTAGTCAGGTGGCTTTCATGCTGCTAGAGGAAAGGTACCTTAATCTTTGACAGATTCAGATTGTCAGCTTACTCTTTACTTAAAAATATTAATGACTAACAAGTCCTGTATCGATAAACAGAACCAAGTGTGTGATAAAGTGTGATAAATGTTATGGTGGAAGAAGCATCCCGTGTGGTCTGAATACCTGCGGGCAGGGAGATTTGACCCATAATTGAAAAATCAGGAAGGCTCCCTACAGGAAGTAGCATCTGCGTTGTCTGAGTGCAGTGATGAGAGGACCCTAATTCAGGCAAAGGAACAGCAGATGTGGATGTGAGGAGATGAAGTGGTTGTATAACTACATTATCAATCATATTTTTCGCATTTACAGTCTAAGTTTATATCATCTGTGTAATTCCATAGTTACACAAGAAAACAATGCTTAATACTACTAACACTACTTCATGGCAATGTAAATGCTTTACATGATCTGATGGACCTATATCTACATGCTTAGATCCATATGCTGTAGGAAGTTAAGAGTCTGAGGTTTTGAATGAGAGAGGCCCTGGTTCAGAGCCCAGTTCTTCCATTTACTAGCTCTGTGACCTTGGGTTCAGCTTCGGTTTTCTGATTTAGAAATTGGGGATTTGTGTCTCATAAAAATACTGTGAGAATTGAATGAGAAGATGAGTATTGCGGGGGCTGGTACATTGTTTCAACTCTAGTTAGCTTTCTTAAGCACTTTTTTTTGCCTGTACCCCTTAGTTCTGTTTATTAAGAGCAACTTTGTTTTCTCTTTTTACTTCTCTAGGGATATGAAGCCTGACAATATTTTACTTGATGAACATGGTAAGTGAGTTATTTGTTTGCAATCAACAACATGACATGCTCGTAGAAAAGTTGATTATTCCCAGCAGAGGAGTATTACACATGGAAAAGGTATTTTGCTATATTCAGTTGAGCTCTATGTGTAAACTCCTCATAGACAATATGGGGGAACTTTATTACTTATGGCAGGATATAGTACAACAATATACCCTTAAGTAACATTGAATTTACCTACTGAGAAAGTCATATTCTACTCTATTTGCTTTCACTACCATATTTCTTCAGGAAAACCATCACGATTTTTTAGTGTTAGCCTTAATACAACACACAATCACCTATGTTTTCCATGATACAGAGACCTCAAGATGAGAGCATTTGACCAGCAATAGCATCTACCTAGACATTAGCAACATTATTTTGTTCTCATTGCATCTATTTCTATGCATTCCTTCTTATAAAAGGCAAACTGCTTTTACGTTTGCAAATTGGTTTTTACATTTACTTGGTATCACAGAAGAATACTTATATCTTAGGGTCATTGTAAATACTAACATATTACGTGTAAAGTACTTGATGCAGTGACTGTCACAAATAAATCACTTAATAAAAGTCTAATATTAGCACAATTTTTATGAGGTGGTCATGGCTTTCTCCCCTTGGAAAGAAAGCTGGAGCTGCTTCATCTTCTTTTATGTGGCTTTGTCTATGCTGACACATATACATACCAATATGTCTCAGAAGAGATATCAAGTTTTGTTTAAAAATTTCAGTTGTTTGAGTCCAGACCCCATGGCTCACACCTGTAATCCCAGCACTTTGGAAGGCCGAGGAGGTGGATCACCTAAGGTCAGGAATTCAAGACCAGCCTGACTAACATGGTGAAACCCCATCTCCAAGAAAAATACAAAAGTTAGTTGAGCGTGGTGGCAGGTGCCTGTAATCCCAGCTACTTGGGAGGCTGAGGCAGGAGAATCGCTTGAACCCAGGAGGCAGAGGTTGCAGTGAGCAGAGATTGCACCATTGCAATCCAGCCTGGGCAACAAGAGTGAAACTTCATCTCAAAAAATATTCAGTTTGAAAAAAAAATTAGTTAGTTTAAAGAAAAGCATAAAAGGGATATAAGTGTTATCCAGATTTGTGATATAGGGATATGGCAATAATCAAGATGGTGATAAGTGAATGCTGAATTTCAAGAACTACTGATTAACTATGTCCTCTAGAATAAGCTTTTGCCCGCAGTGATTAAATGTGTATAATTTCTTCCTAATATTTATTTTCATGTAAATTTGGATTCATTGGAACATCAGGTAAGACCTGTAAGGCACACAGCCTGTATGATATAAATGTTAACAGTGTCAATATGATCTTTATTATGTCTTTAGAAGGCTGCTAAATTAGGAGAGTCCTAAATCTTAAATTCTCCTTATTCGATTTTTACAAAAAGGATTTGCAAGTGGAACTGAAACTCCAAGTACCATCTATTGCTCATTATTTATTTACCTAGTTTTGAGCCTGATTTGCCTGATCCCACCTGTGCTCACAGGGCTAAGAAACACTGGTATATGACCTCTAATTTCAAAGCTCAATGTCATTACTTATTTATGGACTGTCCAAAAAGATTTTTTCCACTTTCTTCCGATGCCTTATTTCTTCCTTATCTTTACTGCTTCTGACATTTGAAAACAGAGCCTCTGACTCTCAGAAATGTGAGCAATGGTGAGACTTAGCATGAAGGTGACTTTTAAATACCAGCTATCCAGAGCTGGGCAGTGGCAGGCACCTGTAGTACCAGCTACTTGGGAGGCTGAGGCAGGAGGATCCTATGAGCCCAGGAGTTTGAATCCAGCCTGGGCAGCATAGAGAGACCCTGTCTTTTGTAAGGGGAAAGGACAGTTACCACTAGCTTCTCTTCTAGCATATAGAGGTCACCTTTGTGCAACTTAGGGAAAGTGCTCCCTCTGTCCACCACAGCTTCCTGGCAGCACATGGCCCACCAAGGAGAACCCAGGTTGGGGTTTTGTCCTCACTTGCTCCCTCAGTTGGGTGACTTTGTGCATGATTTCTGCTGCTCCACCATTTATAGAGGCCCTGAATGGAGGCATACAGGTCCTATCAATCCAACACTTTTCAAGCTTTATTCTCCATTCAGAGAACAGTGTTTTCATCCCAGGCCTCATCCATGGCTTCGTCTCATTTCTGTCATGAAGGCATCCTGTTCTCCTTCAGTCAACTTCTTTCCCCTCCTCATTTTCTTGGCAACTTTGTGATTGCAGATGAGAAAAAAGGTGAAGCAATCAATTAATCTTCAAGTTTAACCACCCTTAGAGACTACCCTTGCAAAAGATTAATTATGTAACAGTGTGGTTAAGAATGTGAATTCTGGAGTCAGATTGCCTTCATTCAAAACACACTTCACTCATGTACTAGCTCTGAGAGCTTTGGCAAGTTGCCTAAACTTTGTCTTAGTTTTTCAGGGATCAAAAGAATACTTACATCTTAGAGTCATTGTAAAGACTGACCTAATATGTGTAAAGTACTTGATGCGAAGAACTGTCACTCAATAAAAGTCTAATATTAGTACAATTCTTATGAGGTAGTCATGGCTTTCTTTCCTTGGAAAGGAAGCTGGGACTGCTTCATCTTGTTTTATGTGGCTTTGTCTCTGCTGACACATAACTTATGTTTACCAAATCTCTACCAGACAGAATCTGTAAACGCTCTTTCCCAAATAATTATTTTGATTTCAGAAGTGATATAACAAATATTCTGCTTGTCTACTTGTTAGATCTTGTGTTTAAACCATTTTGTTTATCCCTTCTTCCTCAGGTAACTACACTTTCTGGGGTACATTCTGCTGTCTTTCATGTGTGCAGGGGGCGAGGGCACAGTCATGGCATTTTATTCTCGGTGGAGCTGGGGCTCTGTACAAGCCATCATTCCAATGTGCCGGAGAGATAGCCTCAGTCTGCCCTTGTTTTCTGGTATCTTATTTACAATGACTGCTTTCATTCTCAAAGTTTTTTCTTTTTTTAATTTGGCCAGTGAATTAAGAAGAGGCTTTTCTATATTATATTCCTATACTGAACTCAATTTGAAAATCAATTGCTTCGAGAAAGATTGTGTATGAATGGTACAGAGGCGAGCAAACCAAAAACACTGAAAGCCATTTTCTAAAAATTGTCTTAGGGATCTCTTTCTGGAGAAAATATATTTTTTGAAGTTATTTACTTTGTTCAGATTCTGAAAAAGTAGGACTCTAAAACATTACTCAAAGAACATAACTAACCACTTTTCAATGAATAAATTCCTGTTGTTCATCTTCCCCCAGGTCACTATGTAGAGCTGATCATGTGAGAATCAGCTGGACCACAAATCAATGCCTGCCTTTCAGAGTGTCTACTGGTGTGATTTTTCCATGTGGAGCTCATATTTGAAGACCTCATTTGTCTTCTCCATCTTCATTTATAATATTTCATCCCTGATGGGCTGTCACATGGGCCTCTTGTGTGGAAATTTTAGCCACCGTGAAGGGTAACCCCCTATCTCCCTGGTGCCTCCTATGCCCATCCCTACAAGTGAGCTGTGTATCACACCTTGTTGCTTACATTTTAATGCAGCACCATTCAGTAACAGGCAGAAACTTTGTTTTATTCTTGACTCATGTTCTTTATATTTATCTGAAAAGACTAACCGTAACATGGGAAATCCACTGTGAATAAATATTCCTTGTACATTAGAATTTGCCTTAAAAAATGTTTTTAACTTAAAGCACATCCGTACTGTTCTCCCAAATCTCCCATTTACTTGTTTAGAAATAGCATTAGGTCTGGGTGACACCTGATCAACTGTCCTAATGTATATTTTCATTTCCTACCAATTTAAATACCCCATCCAATTCTATCAATTCCATAGTGTCTAAAATTCTTGTATTTTTCTAACTCAGGAGATGCTACAATTACAGGAACAGTAATGTCTGCCTGACATATCTGAGAAAATGACAATTATGTCATCATCTCTCACTTAGGTTTCTTAATACCATCCAGTCACAAGGAATAGAGGCAAAAACTCAGTCTAGGAGGTGAGAAACAGTCTTCCTGTTGCAGTGTCTCAAAATGTGCCAAAATATCAAGTGGACAGTGCCCTTTTAAAATGACATACAGTGTAGAATACTGTAACTTATCCCCAGATAATCACTCCCTAGGTAGTACCTAGGGTTATGCATTTTTAGCAAGAATCTCAGAAAAATGTGGGGCAAATATTCTAACTACCTACAAGTAGGAGAGACTTAAAAGTTGGGAGCAAAGCCAGCTCTTATGGTGCCTTAGAGTACTATGTTGAAAGCAGAGATCCTCAGGCTGTGACCAGGAGGAGTAAGAAAGAGTGTAAATGACAACAGTGATGGCTGAATTCAATGACATCATAAGATGAATTCAGATTTTTTATGTGGTCCTCTGTCCCAAGCAACAGAGGTAAAAAGAAAAGGCAGAAACCCTCTCCTAGGATGGTAAATGAGGAAGTCCTGAGGCTTTCACCTGAAAAACTCTTCACTAAGGCAGTGATTCTCAAGTAGGTGTAATTTTGCTCTATTGCTTTTCCCTGCAGAGGACATTTGGTAATGTCTGGAGACATTTTTGATGATCAAGATTCCAGCCAGGGTTGGGAGGTGCTACCAGCAGCTAGTAGGTAGAGGCCAGGATGCTAACATACATTCTACAATGCACAGGACAGTTTTCACTGCAAAGAATTATCAGGCCCAAGATTTCAATGGTGCTGAAGTTGAGAAACTTTGCTGTAAGGCTCACTCAAGGCCTGGGCTTACCAAAGAAGCTAGAGAAGTCCTTCCTTCCCAAGGCAATTCCTTTGTCCTTCAATCAGCGGGAGGCTGAAACCTCTCCTGTGATCCAGCACTCAAATTCATTTTCAAAACACAGAAGGCAACCTAGCAGATAGGTCACCATGGTAAGCAGAAGCAAGGCATGGCTGCAGCTGGACCTGGAACTGAGGCTTAGGGCCAGCACTGTGAAGTTCTGCTGTCATTGTTTAGCTCAAAAGCACCAGGCTAGAAGATCCGGTAGAACACTACCCTCAAGTAATTTCTCCCTGTTCTTTACTAGGCATCCTGGCAGTGGAAAAGAACTCTCAGCTAGTCAGAAAGTAATTGTTTTAGGTTATTCGGTTCTTTGGTCTTGTGATACAGCACACAAAGTTTTTGGGAGATTCATAGCTTAACAAAGGGATCCTAGACAAAAATTCTAGGTCTTAACTCCAGCTCTGTAACTTTTGAGTCTTTTGAACTTAGCCATAAATGACTCATATATAAAATAGGGCCTACCTCACTGGGCTAAAGAAGAAACTTTATGCCACAACATTTTGAAAACTGAATTAATCACACACGTGTAAACAACACTGAAAAGGTAAATATTCAACATTCTTTCAACTGACATATAATGAGTACTTACCAGAGTTGAGACGTTCTGCTAAGCCAGGCCCTCTTTTAAAACTGTAATCTCAAACTTTATTGGACCTCTTAATCACCTGTAGGGCTTATTTAAACACTGGGGCCCAACCCCCAGAGTTTCTGATTTAGTATAATACAGCTGAGTGGTGGGGAGGGGTTGGGGGGGAAGAATTTGCCTATCTAACAAGTTCCCAGGTGATGATGATACTGCTGGTCTGGGGGCTACATTGTAGGAATCAATTGGCTCTAAAGCCTTCTCTACCTTCCATTTCTTCCACTTCTACATGAGCATAGATAATCTTGTAGCTGAGTCAGCTTGGAAAATCTCTGCAGACTGAAGTAGACTGTTGCATGCCTGGCTGCTCATCTGAATCACCTGTAGAATTTGTTGTTTTTAATACAGATGCCTGGCTTTCCTACGAGTCCCACTGGAGTTTCAGGAGACTGAAGCCCAGGCACATATTTTTGCAAAACTACACTGAAGTTTCTGATAATGACAGATATCAACAATTAAACGCTTCTTGCCAAACGCTGTGCTAAGTCTCCCGTAATCATTATTTCATTTAACCTTTCCAACAACCTCTTGAAAAGACTGATTACCTTTCCAACTTTACAGAGTGGGATAAGTGACTTTCTCAAGGTGACACAGCTAGTTATCGGTAGAACCTAGACTTGAAGCCAGGCAGTCTGACTCCAAGAAACGGGCTCTTTACCATCGTTTTCAGACTCACCTGATTTGTATTAAACTTTGTGAATCACTGGTCCAACAGTATGAGCAAGACCCATGGGGAGAAAAGAAAAAGGAAAAACAGAGACAACCTATGCTATGATAGGGTAAGTTTCTGAAATCAGGCATGGGTGCCACTCTAGCAAGAATAACTTTTGACTAGGTGAGTGCTCCCTTTACTTTACTGAAATATCATCACATGAATAAAACTGAACACTGTCTGCACAGAATAAAACCCTGGTGAGAAAGGCAGTGGGATTTATCTTTAGCAGCAGGCTGGATACTATCAGGGAACAGACAATTAAGTTTGATATGGGGAGTGTGGACTGTGGGCTGATGACATGCTCTCCAATTACAGCTGTATCTCATCAAAACCACAGACACATGTAAATGGAAATGCCAACACTTCAAGATTCTCTGAAAGCAGATGATTGTCGTGCCAACAGCTAACATAATAGGCCTGTCTGCTGGAGCTTCTGGCACTGCCCTTTTGTTCCCTCTGGCTGTAAATGCAGGGACCCTAGAGCACCTCATAGAGAGTGTTCCCTGCCAAATATAAATGTTAGACCCACTCTCTGTTGCTTTGAGTGTTAAAGCTGAGAGAGCCCCTAAAGATCATTTAGTCTACCCATTCTTTTTTTATGAAAAGGACTTAAAGTCTACTATGTGTTAGGGGTAGAGTTCAAGGCAGAACCCAGGCCTCCTGGCTCCCCATCTAGTGCTGTTTATAGAGTCCCTTTAAAAATGAAGTTGATTGGCTGGGCGTGGTGGCTCATACCTGTAATCCCAGCACGTTGGAAGGCTGAGGTCTTCCAAAGTGATCACGAGGTCAGAAGATTGAGATTATCCTGGCTAATACGGTGAAACCCCATCTCTACTAAAAATACAAAAATTAGCCAGGCGTGGTAGCGTGCACCTGTAATCCCAGCTACTCAGGAGGCTGAGGCAGGAAAATTGTTTGAACCTGGGAAGTAGAGGTTGCAGTCAGCCAAGATCACGCCTTTGCACTCTAGCCTGGCAACAGAGCAAAACTCTCTCAAAAAATAAAATAAAATAAAAAATAAAGTTGATTTCCCTCCCCTCACCCCCGCTGTCCCTTGATAACAGTTACTTCGTTGGGGACTGATGAGGCCAACCTAAACTATCAGACAAAAAATGTATCCAAAAATATTTTAGAAAAACTTGGAGTAAAGGGAGGCTTTCTTGGCTAGGAAATAAATATTCGTATCCACATTCATACCAGCTTTGTAGTAACAATATTTACCCCCCCCTTTTTTTTTTTAATTGGAATATCACTCTGTTGCCCAGGCTGGAGTGCAGTGGCATGATCTTGGCTCACTGCAACCTCTAACTCCCAGGTTCAAGTGATTCTCCTGCCTCAACCTCCCAAGTAGCTGGGATAACAGGCACCCACACCACACTCGGTTAATTTTTGTTTATTATTATTTTTAGTAGAGACAGGGTTTCATCATTTTGGCCAGGCTGGTCTCAAACTCCTGACCTCAAGTGATCCACCTGTCTCAGTCTCCCAGAGTGCTAGGGTTACAGGTGTGAGCCAACACGCCTCGTCTAGTTGCCTCTTTAAAAAAAAAAAAAAATCCCATGAGATGTTTGGAAATGTGATACTTTGAGTATCCCTTGGCTATCTCCTTCATGATATTCACAGGCTAAAGTAACTCAAAATGTTACCAACAGACAAAAACTGCCTAACTAGAATAACCTGACCACAAATTCTTAATTACTAAGAGTAAAACTTTCTGAGGCTGAACTCTACGTTTACAATCAGAGACTGATCATCGCATATTATGTAATGGAGGATTGCTGGCTTAAGACCATATTGGCCTTGAGGGTGGAACAGTTGAGCTTTTATTGCCTGGACCCAACTGCAACTAACCTACAGGAATTAACAGAATAATTGGGTGATTTCAGGTAGAAGCATGGTTGTGCCACTGGGTTAAATGGGACGTAATGCTCTGTGTGTTTCTTCTCTCTCTGCAGGGCATGTGCACATCACAGATTTCAACATTGCTGCCATGCTGCCCAGGGAGATGCAGATTACCACCATGGCTGGCACCAAGCCTTACATGGGTATGGGTTTCATAAGCGGCTCTTGTTTTTTCTGTAAATACCATTTATTACAGGTGGAATCATCTGTGGAGACTTGCAGCTGGAACTGATAAGTTCCTCTCTGACTTTGCCTATGGAGCTTCTGATTTCATGGGTCTTCTCCACTAGCAAGCACCCAAGATGATTTTGATAAAGGAGGACCATTGATTACATTTTGAAAACTTATTTCATGACCATGTATACCCACTTCCTAACAAAAATATTAATTAATTCAATAAATACCTACGGTGTCTGTGTGCTTAGCACTGTTTCAGATGCTGGTGACTGTAGAAAGCAACACAGACAAGGTCTTCAGATCCTGGAGCTTACATTCTAGTGGAAGCAGATTTTTTTAAAAAAGAACCAAACAAAGAAGTAGGAAACAGTAATTGGTAGTGAGTGACAAAGTGTTATTTTAACCATTATTTACATAATACTACATTACATGAATAGAGCTATAAATTTTACAAAATACATTCCCAGCTATAATTTTAGGTTTAGCTGTAGTGCCATAACAATTCCATGAGTTCTCCTTTTTAAAGATTAAGAAACTATGGAGCTGGGCATGGTGGCATCCATCTGTGGTCCCAGCTGCTTTGGAAGCGAAGGCAGGAGGATTGTGTGAGTCCGGAGTTGGAGGCTGCAGTGAGCTATGGTCATGCCACTGTACTCCAGCCTGGGTGACAGAGGGAGACTCTCTCTAAAATTAAATAAATTATTTTTTAAAATAAAGATGAGGAAATTCTGCCTTAGAAAGTTTAAATGTGTCTGCATTATCTTGTTTGTAGTAGGTGAGGAACTTGTTTTCGCCTTGACTATTCAGCATGTACTAAGGGGTGACCAAAAAGATAGGGTCAGATGCAAAATTGTCAGTTGGTTTCATGTTTAGTTGTGGTAACAAATCAACTACAAACTCTAAGTTCACCTGTTGGGAGCAGACATCTCTAGATAGGCAGCAGAACTAATTTTTAGCAGAACTAGTTTTACCTCCCATCCAGCTCCAAAAATGTAAAGAGAGAGCTAGTGCCCTTTAGGGGGCACACAGTATTCAGAAAGAGGGAGTTCTCCCTCCCCTCTCCCTGTGGTTGTTCCTAAGGCAAGTGAGTCAGATCTCAAGAGAACTGTCTGTAAACTCTTAGAGTGACTGCAAGAAGAGGTGCCTGGAATTTCATTTTTGGTTAGATATCTGTGTAGTTACTGGACTTGCTGACTAGTCCTGGAGTTAACATAGCCTGGTTGGCCATGGAAGGTTGATGAGTTTGGGGGCTAGTCTTGCTGAGGATCATAGCAGCAGGAGACAGGTATGCAGTGAATGTGACTGTGTTGGGGAGAGGGAGGTGGATTAGCTACAGGCTGTGATCCAGTTTCACAAGGGCCCCTCCAATGCTCAAGAGCATAGCCTGAAAGGGAGGGAGGCTCCTGTCAGTGTGACTTCCTGAAAGCACCACAGGTCCCAATAGAGCTCAACATACCAGAATCACTGAGGGTGGATTCTAGGGACAGGGTGGTTTAAAGCTCTTAGGGTAGTTCTGCCATGTAGCTAGGATTCACAACTTCCGCCACAGACCCCTAAAGAGAGATTACTCTGCAGCAGGGGTAACACGTGTGTTAGGACCCATCTGCCTCTTCTACCCTTCTTCCATGTCCTAAAAGAAATAGTGCTTTCTAGGAAAGGGTAGAACGACCTGTGTGAAAGCCAGATAAGTCCTCCACCTCCATACTACGGTGGCTGCAGCCAGCCCAGCAGGGTGGGTGAAGCAGCTTTGAATCAGATATGAGAATAGTTCCTTTGTGAGTGCAGTGGCATGATCTCGGATCACTGCGACCTCCGCCTCTCGGGTTCAAGTGATTCTCCTGCCTCAGCCTCCAGAGTAGCTGGAATTACAGGCACCTGCCACGATGCCTAGCTAATTTTTGTATTTTCAGTAAAGAAGGGGTTCACCAGGTTGACCAGGCTGTCTTGAACTCCTGACCTCAGGTGACACTTCTGTCTCAGCCTCGCAAAGTGGAGAATTATTTTAAAATTCACAGAACTGAATTGTAAAGCATCTAAAGTAAATGTAATAAGCAAATAGGACTAAAACTTAGCAGACAATAGACTGAGCTATCTTTAGGTGAGCTCCCTATCCAGCAAAAGCAGGAAGTTAGACACTGCACAGTGGCTGGCAGATGATAGAAGACTAAAAACTACTTGTGCTTTACCCTAATTAGTTAAGATGCTTAAAGCAGGTGGTGTCGCTGTTTAAACTGTTGGGATTAAGTCAGGTGTGGAATGAATTGTATCAGCTAGATATGGTCACGGTAATTCAAAAGCAAAATATTTCAACGTGAAATCAAGGACAAGAGCAATGCCATTTTCTTTTAATATTTCATTCTCTTCCCCTATGTAACTAAGAGAGAGGAAAAGAGAACCCCCTACGTGCAGAGCCACCTCACTTTTCAACAGAAATCTTCTATGAGAAAAAAAAAATGAGCCTTACTTTCTATGATATTTGAACAACTGCAAATTTCGTGACTTCCAATTATCAGTGGGGGGAATAAATCTCTTTTGTCACTTCTAAAATAATGGACACATATAATTCAGCCTATTTTCTGCCTAAAACCTATGGTACTCAAATGATAAAAAAGCATATCCAAGCCTGCTGCTCTGAAGAGTTTATTCCCCAGGTTTCCTGGGTTTCCATATTAAGGGCTATTTTCTTGGAGCCAAATCAGAAAATGTGCATCTGGATTTCCAGGGTTGGTTTCCATGGTGAGAGAAATACAGAGAAGCCACCATTCTTTCCTCTCCCCGGTGGTTTTAAGCACAATATCCGTATAACGTAATTTTTTCAAAGTTGGCATTTCTAGTCTTCTCACAAGATAGAGCTGAAAAATTGGAATCTAGGAAAGATTCTGTGCACCTTCCACTTTCACCCTTGTAATTAACAATGACTAATATTTCTTGAAATCTTTCCATGGACCAGACAAGGTGTTAAATGTTTTACATTCATTTACTCATTTATTTTCCCAACAGCCTTATGAGGCAGACTATACTTATCACTATTTTATAATGAGAAAAATCAGAAGCTAAATGATTTGGTCTAGATCACATGGCTAATAATGGAAAAGTCTAGGTTTAAATCAAGCTCTGATTTCAGAAATCAAGCTTTTTCTTAAAAGAAAAATAAAGCGGTAAATAAAAATACATATTTGTAAATATTTTTATCTCTTTTTAAATGGTTCTAAGTCAATTTAGTTAGGCTAATATATTGGACATGTTTCTTGTCTTATTCCAAAATGATTATGTGATTGCCACAGTTCTCCTTTTGGAGAAGAGTCTTTCCAAGGGGTATTGTGGGTAGATCCCTGCTGTCTCTTTTTAAAATTTATGCTCCCAGTGATTTGGTAAAATCTACCAAACAGATATTCATCAGCACCCATTTTATAGTGATTCCATGGGATACTAATTCGCAATTCCCCAGAAAGAACAAAAAAATTCTAAAAAGAAAGAAAACTATATAAAATACTGATTGAAGTTTGGAGAAATATACATCTACTAATACAAGACGTTGAGCATTTTTTCTTTTTTTTTTTTTTTTTTTTTGGGACGGAGTTTCGCTCTTGTTACCCAGGCTGGAGTGCAATGGCGCTATCTCGGCTCACCGCAACCTCCGCCTCCTGGGTTCAGGCAATTCTCCTGTCTCAGCCTCCTGAGTAGCTGGGATTACAGGCACGCGCTACCATGCCCAGCTAATTTTTTGTATTTTTAGTAGAGACGGGGTTTCACCGTGTTGACCAGGATGGTCTCGATCTCTTGACCTAGTGATCCACCCGCCTCGGCCTCCCAAAGTGCTGGGATTACAGGCTTGAGCCACCGCGCCCGGCAACGTTGAGCATTTTTTAAAGCAGTTTCATAGCTCTGGAAATAAGAAGACAGTCTGTCACGCCTGTAATCCCAGCACTTTGGGAGGCTGAGCCGGGTGGATCACGAGGTCAAGAGATCGAGACCGTCCTGGTCAACTTGGTGAAAATTACACAATCTCTATTAAAAATACAAAAAAAAAAAATTAGCTGGGCATGGTGGCGCACGCCTGTAGTCCAAGCTACTCAGGAGGCTGAGGCAGGAGAATTGCTTGGACTCAGGAGGCAAGAGGTTGCAGTGAGCAGAGATTGTGCCATTGCACTCCAGCCTGGGTAATAAGAGCGAAACTCCATCTCAAAAAACCCCCTAAAAAAAAAAAAAAAAATAAAGTCAGTCTGCCAGTTCTTTACCACCTTCCATCCAGCAAGGAAGTTTTGCTTTTTACAATTTGTTGTCTTCTACCTCCATGCTCCCTCTGGTCCCTCCACTATTCCTTCTCTCTTTTCTTTGTCTGCGTAAATATAATCCAGATTACTTAGAGTTAACCAATTAAAACATTCTCCTCCAAATTATATATATATATGTATGATAAGTTCACTATGGACCAGTAAGCAAAAGGAAAGAAAATATCCTTTGTCAGTAGATATTTATGGTTTATTCCCAGAACCCTTTTCCTAAGCACAAACACATACTGTTTACATTTTTTAAATATTTGATCATGCTAAATATAACCTAAATTTTCATTTTATAATGTAATAATGATAGACATCATATAGTGAACATTTATTGTCCTAAGCACTTTGCTAAGTTTTTAACATTTATTATTAAACTGTCAACACCATAAAATGGATTTTACTATTGTGTTGATTTTATAAGTTAAAAAAAATTAGGCCCAGAGAGAAAGAAAGTGACGTGATCATGATCACACAGCAAGTGATTGGCAATGCATGAAATTAAACCCAAGTCTAGAAACATGCAATGCCTGTGACACGGATGCTGATGTGACGATGATGTGACAATGATGAAGGTAGAATGGCTGGCATTACTGAGCTCTTAGACATTACTGTTCTAACTACATGCATTATGTCATTTAAACTAAAAACAATTCTGTGAGACGAGTACTATCCTTACAGTTTTA